GAATGTGTTCATAGATCGTGACTACATTTGTACGCAACAAACCGCAGTTCTCCAATGATACAATCAACTTCTTTGAATACTCTCATTGTCCTATGTATCTATGTCAAGTACAGTCTTTTAAGTTAGGTATTCAAAGTCAAGTACAAATTTGAATGCTCCTTACAAAAAGCAGTCAGTACAATAAAGGTTTTAACGTTAGTGTCACATATGTTCTTTTTCATAATTTTTATACAATATTTCTTTTTTTGAAAACATCATTTCTCATATGTCGTGAGAGAAATGAGTTCCATTTGAAATCCAGACTAAAATATTTGACATGAAGAGAATCAGTCGTTAAGCTTGATCACAGAACTCGATTTCACCACTAGAATCTCTATCATCCACTATTAGTGGCAATATTTACGTGATTAATTAGCGTACTGATGTTTGCCGCGAAATTTTTATCTGATAGACATATCGGTAAGAAGTGTGCTTCATTGCTCAATGTTGTACATGTCAAACTGGACGCATTTCACAGTGTCCATTGGTTCTGTATCTCTACCAGTCACTACTAACGCTACTTACAATACACATAAAAAGAAAAATGATCATTCTATTGTTTTTACTGATCACGAAAAACCCTGATGAAGACAACATCACAATGAACAATGTAATAAACGCAAATTATCGCTTACTTATAATAGCTACAGCATAATCTCCCTTAGATGAGTACCTACAGGGCATTTTCAAATCGCTCACTTGACGGAGGTGCCCGAATTAGAGAAGTTTTGACAAATATCAGTCACAAACATGTTTTTCGCAAGCTGTGTCATAAATAATACCCATACATATATATATTACCAATCTATCATTAGACCTTTGACTGAGTCAGTATTTCACTCTCATTATTCGATATTTTCTCTGTATCTAAGTTTATTTTCTATTTTCTTATCTATAATCAAGCTTTTTGAAAACAATCCATAATAGAGCTTTTGCTTGTTAGTTTTTGAATCAATATAACTATCAATGTGTTTCGATTCCAAATCAACGACGAGTGGGTGAAGTTCTGGTTGACAAGTAGATGCGAGTAGATGGAGTTTTCGAATCATTTCAAGAGAATCAGCAAGTGATGGAGGCTCCTCTTGAGTTACTTCATCATCTTTGTCGTCTTGATCGTGTTCAACATCTTCGATTATTAAAAGATTCTCCGTATTGTTGTTCCGTTCATTAAATACTGGAATTTCCTCGTCAACTTTAACGAATTCGCCGGTCGACATGTGTACACCACTGATCGTAATATGAGAAAGTAAAGCATCGAGTTTTTTTGAGCGAATCATCGTTTGCGGGGACAAAAGCCGAATTGACCATGACTTCTTCAATTTCTTCGGCAACTTTTAGTGCCTTTCCCTGAATCAAGGGTCCTGAGACTGGAATATGTTTCGGTCTTTGTATCACAAACCAGGAGAAGACAGTTTCATCGATCTTTTGTTCCAACTCGTCTTGCAGTTTGCGTTTGACACCTTTGTTCGTATTCGTTTGGAAATCGTATTTGTATTCGTCTTTATGTTGAAGAATGTTGTACACAGCATCCTTTGATTCCTTATACTTCTCACACAAGTTGCGCTGTGAGAGTCCAGATCCATTAGCATAGTTGTTGTCTAATGCAATCTTCTCATCAAGTGTAAGATAATGATGCGAAGTCATTTTTCAATGCTTTTATGCAAGTAATGTTAGATAACACGACTATTTATATTCTTTTTATCACTGACTGCACAATTAGAAATGTATAGACGAGTTATTTTCTTTGTCGCGTCGGACGAAACTTTTCTGTCTCATTCATAGAATAACAAAAAGCGGCGAGAAGAAAAAGAACAGTAAATTGATTAAAATATTGACTGTATGTGCGCATATAAGAGAGATTCAACTGTACAATAAAGTCTAAAAATAGTGCCCACTGCTCAGAAGATGGAGGTGCCCTTGTTATTAGAGGTGCCCACATAGAGAAGTTATACTGTTGGTTGTAAAAGTTTAAGTGCAATCGTTTCTTTCAATTTTTCTCTCATCCGATTAGGAGCCAATCTAATTCAAGTAGTGATGTACATAGATAGTAAGAGAAGCTGACTATATGGCGTAATTAGTATTGATGGGAACTCCATCTGTCTATATAAATTTTTCATCATTAAAATAATTTGTTTCAAGCAAGAACAAGCTTTAGTACTTTACAGTATTTCGCATTTCTTAACCACGAGATTTGTGTTAAAATGTCAAAAAATAAATAAAACATGATTTTAACGAGAATAGCTCGAAAAAACAGTGGAAGTGAAACTATTGCCTACATATTCTCTCTTATCGCAATGTATTTTATCTTTTTAAATTATTTTGATAGAAAAAACAGTCAGTGTTTTTTCGGCTATTCTCGTTAGAATTAGGTTTTAGACGTGAAAACCTACTCGGAGAACGTAACTTTTTTTAAAAACTCATAGAGCATGAAATTCTCTATCGACTAGTAATTTCTTTTTCATTTTAATACAATTTCTTAGTTAGGAAATACGGTGCGAAGCACCACATTAAATACTTACATTATCTCTGATATTGAGCTATTCGGGCATCGTAAATTTCACGTGCTTGTTATGATGAAAAGAACAAGTTCACTGTACCCTGACTTGCTTATATATATATATATAAAGAAACAAAAGTGTTATGAGTAGCTTGTGTGTTCGTTGATCTTTACTATCGATACGAAGCTGCAACGACTATTAAGCATGCATTAGATGGAGCCAACCAATACAAAGAAGCATCCAATACATATAACGATCCATAACGCATCCACATGGTTTCTAAGTTACACAAAGTATACTCATTCAAAAAGAACTAAAACTACAGAACTCACAAATCAGATATATTATCGAATCCCTGCACAGAACCTAAACATTTTAAAATTGAAAAATGTCACCATATACACAGAGTCGAATATTATCAGACATCTATTCAACGTTAGTAATGCCAGGTTTCCTCGTCGAAGTAGCTTCATATGATCAGTTAACGACAATAGACGGTAAAAGTACATCATACACGTATAAATAGGGTCTCATAAATTAATTGGTTTTAGAATTCTCACAAAAACACTGCAATCATCGCACTATATCACATATTCACACATAGTAACAAACAGCACATCTCTCATCTATGCGTGCTAACAATACAAAACAAAATTATTAGCCAAACATTTAAATAAAAAAAACATTAACATTATAAAATACTCTCAAACTCAAACATATCTTAAAATATTCAGCTTTATTGAAAGACTTCAATGTTAAACACTGCACAATCATACAAAGCTCTCCCCATAAGAACAGTCTTGGGGATTATATTAAAACGTAGTAGTACATTCAATTGAGGGTGTGGGCTTTTTTAACATCCATACCTGCACCCTTTCATAAATAAATAAGCAATCGAAAATTCAAAGTTGAACACAAACTTGAAAACTGAAAAGTCTTCTTTCGATACACAGGTAATCATGATATGTAATTGTTCTTTTAGTGTCTGAGATTGCAAATAAGTATGTTTCAATCTTTGTTCTATAATGTTTTCATATTTATTACTGTTCATCGGTTACTTTCAGCCACGTAGTCATTAGTTAATATTTATTTTTCAGATAATCAATGATTATCGACTAAGTTTTCATTTCTTATAATCAATTTTGATTTAAAATCACGTCTAATCGGTTATTTCGATCGTATTTAATCAAATACAATTGTTTAGAGGGAAACAACGAATAAGACTGAGTATTCAAATAACTTATTTTCACGTGAAAGCAGACTTGAGATAAGAGAAAGAGCAACGACAACAGGAACTAATTAAAAGATATTCACCCATCACATATTGCGACTTATTGCGATCAAAATATTTTTTGTAGAATATCTATCTGCTCCCGTCTATGGTAGAACTTTTGTGATTTCTCATATTCAGGTGCTTAGTGGATATCATGAGAGAGCAAAACCCTTACTACATTTATTCGCTTACATGGGTCGCACAGCAATGCTTGCATCTTTGTCTTTCCTTTCCTTATCAAAAATTGCTTATAAACGTTAATGTTCGCTCACATCATCGTCACTTTATCTCTTTGCATCATCTACATGCACGTCCCACTCTCTTCATCGAAACACCCTGTTTGTCCACTACTAGCATTCGTAAGATAAACATCCTTTTTTCCTTGCTCATTCGTAGATAAGCAGACCGATGGAGGAAGAGAGTTCCAGTCTTTTATGATGCTGTTCTCTCGCAATCTGTGGTCATTGTATCTCATGGGTCTCACACTTCGCTGCATTCGTTGCTTCGAGAACACCATCTATGTTTTTTCTTTCGTTACTCTGTTTTATTCAGAATCCACTACCTGAAAACACATTTCTTTGTCTCAATGACAGAAAGAGTAAGCACTTAACCTTAACTTTCTGCTTTTTTTTGTCAGATCGAGAGCTTTTCATTGAGAGTGTAGATAATGAAAGATAACAAACCTACTCATATTTTCATAATACACACTCAATACTAAATTCAAAATAATAGATTCTTATTAAGACCTCTGTGAACTAAAAGATAAAGAATCAGAGTTATTGACAGCGAATAAAATTTTTTATGCATAGTACTAGAAAGACAGTAATCAGCTATTCGTAGTTGCTTAATGGTTGTTTTAAAGATTTTAATAGATATATCGATCAATGAGACACTTGACATAGATCGTTGTAGCAACTATAGAGAAATATGAATTTTAAAATTTATTTATTAATACTGTTAGAAGATAACAAGAAAAAAAAATAGCGTGTCTCTGAATCAGTCCAAATGTTCAACTTATCTTATTATCACGATATATTGATATTAGAAGTCTTCAATCGATATTTAGTAAAAATGATTGATTTTATTTATGCAGGATATGATTCTTAATTTCACATGTCCTTGTAGGTGATAAAAGAAAAACGAACATGTTGAAGTTATTATCATTGGAACTTACAATTTTCATCCTTTCAATGAGCTTGTCAACGGTAACATGTGGCTCTTCAATGTTATGGCTTCATGTTGTTCAACCAAACTTAACAGCAGGTAATGGATTTGTCACTGTCTCTTTAGTTCAGGACTATCAAAATCTAACAACAAATATCTATTCAGTTTTTATCAGTTACTTAATCAACTCTACATTATTTAAGGAATTTCATTAATTTCAACTGAGCAGTCTTTGTTTTTTACTTAGACAAAGATAGAGAGAAAAGAGTCAATGACGTCACCATCAGTGGTTCAATTAATATAGTACGACTATTTCTCACAATGGCTAAAAGAGATAATGATTGTGATTTTCTATATCTTATGTTTTAAAATATAAATTTGAACCATATTCTATTTTGAATTTATTTCTTGGAGAAATACTAATTCAATATAATCATATGATGAGACCTTTAAAATTCAACATGACATATATACTTACCGTCAATACAATAGAAAAAGAACTATTCTCAACATATGATCTTCGTATCTATTCATGACATAACACCATAATGCACAAAATATTTACTTCTCCTAAAAATAAAAAATCTTGCTATGAACCAAATCTTGAAATCATCCGTTCTGTATTGTTGACTGTTCATTTCCATCATGATAAAAGGTATTGTCTGAGGACATACTAATAATTCAATGTTTCCATGCATTTTTTGTCGGAGATCTGTTTTTCTCTGTTCGATCTATACATTGATTTCTGGCATGGAAAGTGACACATACAGTAAAAGATGGTTCAAAAAAAAGCTTCAGCTCAACTTGGAAATCAATTGCTCGATATTGTTCAACGACGTTTTTCGCCTTAAAAGAAATTTGTACCACGATCAAGAAGATCTAGCTGTGTCATTGACTAATATTCTACATTCAACATGATTAACAAGATGAGCTTAAGTCAAGCTCAAGTCTTTTTCCGACACTCTTTCCAAACGTCTAACATATATACAAAAAGATACAAAAAGTAAAAAACCATATCAGGGACAGATGACTATAAAGGGGTTAATTATTGACTTCCCTCTTTTGAGAATATCTGTCTTCATCAGAGCCAGTTAAGAATCTAATTGATTTACTATTATAACATGTGAAGCGTTTATTAAAATTATATAAGAAAAGTTTACAATATCTTCTATGCTTGACTTTATTTTTTCTGTCGTGTTAAGGTCACTATGGTTATATTGCTGATGAATATAATCGTCATGTAATATTACGTGGCGTTGATGTTGAAACTGAACAAAGAAATATTCCTGCTGATCAAGATAGACCGATTGATCCTTCATTATATGATGGTCAATGTCCATCTAATATAAATGTTTATCAAGAACCTCCTACATGTGAAATAGATTATGGCAAAGGAATGTATAATATCAATGATGAATGGAATAGTCATAATGACTTTGCTCAAATAAGAAGATGGGGGTTTGTTTAGTTTATTAATCACAATAATAATTTTCTTTTTTTTCTTTTATAGTTTTAATGTTGTTCGATTATGTTTAAGTTGGAGTGCACTAGAACCAACACCTGGAAATTATAGTGAAATGTATTTACAACGTGTTGAACAGGTATAATAATTCTATCATTAAAACTAAGATGATTTATTCAACAAATTTAATACTTGTAGATTATTGAATGGGCATCCGAACAACAAGTCTATGTTATACTTGATATGCATGAGGACTTATATTCTCGTTATATATTTGGTGATAAAGAACATGAAATTCCACCTTATTTAACAGCATCCGATGGACAAGATGGTGCTCCTCAATGGGCAGTTATGACTGATGATTGGCCTGCATTAGCATTCTTTGGTATTGGAAATTTAAATCTAGCAATGATGAAAGCATTTGATAATTTTTATAATAATTCCATACCACCGAATGCTACACAAGGAAATGCACCTGGACCAGGTTTACAAGACCATTATATTGGAGCTATTGCATTTTTAGCAAAGAAATTTGTGAATAATAGTGCAGTTCTAGGATATGAAGTAATTATTATTTATTCTTCTTTTATTCAAAATTTTATCATACCTATTTTGGTTCTGAATAGATGCTGATATTGATATCAGAGACGATAGATTGAACTAACACGTAAAGCATTTAGTAATTTATCATTCTAAATAGACTTCAATGTTCTCTGTGTCATTCAGCTGTATACGTACTCAGAGGCGGCGGAGCGATTCTAATCTACGGGAGGGATATTTTCTAGCTTTTCCACTTTAACTTTTATCAAGGGATATCGGATGTCTCAATGTGTTTTTGAACAGCATCTATTTGACATATATATCCTTCTATAGGCGACTGATATAATCTAGGAGCGTTGTCGAAAGATGTCCTATGGAAGTTGAGAATCCTTCGTGGTTTTTCTTTTTTTTTGGAATTTCCAGGATTCATTTTAATTAAAAAATTTCTCTATTTCATAGCATAGAACATAATATAACTTTACTAAAAAAAATCCATGATTTGCAAGAATAAGCGTTCATCTTTCAGCTGTTCTTCATCTGAAGTCTTGTCTACTTTTATCTTCGGTGTCATATGCCCGTGTTTGCCTCAATTTCGTTCAGTTGACGATGAAAGAAGTACCTAAGTACAGGAACTTTCAGAAAAGTTTCGAAAAAATGAAATATAGACGCTGTTGTTGAATTCTCTACAACAATG